GATGTTAATACTATGACGCCGACGACGTTTGCCGCGACGGCGATGATTTTGCACGGTGGATGGGCGGGCTCGCACAGGTCACGACATGGTCAGTGTCACGGGGGGAAGCATGCTCAAGCCCCCGCAGAGTCAGCCGCCCATGAAATCTAGGAGTGCTACGGTGGTCACGCCGAACGCCAGGAACGTTGGGCCGCGTTTCTTGCTTACCTTGTCGAGGCGAGTGCGCTGGTTGTTCTTGCTCAGGAGTTGCATGCGCCTGTCGACCTGATTGCAGATCGGCGAAACCAGGTGGATGACATTGGATACCGAGGCATACGGGGTGCTGCCGTACTGGGCGAGTCTGGCGGCCCTGGGACTAGGGGCGGAATGGCTGCGGCTGTGCTTGCGCAGTCACACATAACGGCCGCGACTCCGCCGTGCTCGCCCGCGCCCGATATTGTCCCAGGGCGAGTTGTGGCAGCGCATGTGCGATCCCATGTGGTGGAGTGGTCTGTGCGTCTGTCTATTTCAAGGATGGTGAGGGGCTTGGGCCTCAGAACGCATCGATGTTGTGGCGTCTGGCGGAGTACCTCAGCCCCTTCAATGGCACGCAGACACCCTGGGTCGTTGGATGGGGACTGGAATATGCACATCAGCATCCTCAACCAGTCGGGTTGGCTCGCCAGTGTGGAGGCGACGCGCGCGTGTCCGACGCTGGCCACGCGTCGGCAGACGGCGCCAGGTCAGGTCACATCTACGACTTCTTGCTGCGCTTCAGTTGCCTGCTGCCCAAGCTCGAGGCAGGGGCCGAGGTGGGCGAGACCGCCGCCGCGTTTCCACACTTGCCTGCTCCGCTCGAGATTCGCAATATCTCTGCGCCGGTTTGGGTCAGAACTGCAAGGGATCCCAAGGCCTTCCCTGCAGCGACGCCTCTCGGTTGTCCACGGCAGCCCTCGGTCGCGCGGGAGACTGCATTCCCGGCTGCGGTTCCGCAGGTTACGTTGCGCGACTTTTCGCCGAGCTTTCGGGATCTGGTTATCGGGGGCATTGAGAAAGAGATGGCGGGTCGCTGGGGCGCCGTCGGGACCTGCGCCGAGGCCTGTGTGGGCCGCGGTGGACCTGCGGAGGTCCGCCAGCAAAAACTGGCGCGGGCCTCGCCCCGTAAGAGGACGCGCGCAGATCTGAGTGCTCGCGCCCGGGCAAAAGCTCCGGGTTGGACCAAGCACGTTGCTAAGACGAGGCAGTCCATCGCAAAGGAGGTTGGGCTCCTCCAGCGCCGAGGCCTCCGCTCGCATATGCCCGGGCAACGCGCTAAGCCGTTGCAGTCAGTCTCTCGCGATGTTTGCCAAGCTCACGCGCAGGATTGGGCGCTGTAAAAAAATGGTTGTCGCATCTTTGTGGGCCCGCCCGTATTTCCTAGAGAGTGGTTTCGCGGCGTTGGCGCATTGGCCCGCCCCGAATTCGCCAGCGAGGCTACGGGCATCTACTCCCGAACCATGGCTGTCATGGTCAAGGCTCAGAGTGCCTCCGCCCATGAGTGACTCTGCTGGGCCCGCGAAGCGTTTCAGTCTGACGCGTCCAAGGCGCACAAGTTTTCGAAGGTCAGAGCGGTCCAAGAAATCCTCTCAGCAGGTGCCCCCGCGGCTCCGTTCTCGTTGGCCCCAGATGCGCTTCGGCCCCGGGCCCAAGTTTGGACCGCTCACGAGGGCTGGCTGGTCAAAAATAGGGTGGCCAACGACGAAATAAGGCTGGCCATGCCAGATGGAGGCGCGCGCCTCATTGCGCTGGCCAGCAGCATATGCAGCATCTAGAGTAATTGGGAAGCCTCTGGCGTTCGAGTGGCAACATCCACGCAGATGCGCGGATATCTGGGGCACGCGGAGAGGCCGCAGCTCGTCCGACAGTGCTGTTGCGCAAACCTGTCCGTAGAAATTGCTGGGTTGCTCGGCGATGCGTCGATGCCGGTGCTGCTTCACATGGCCAAAGATTTCGAGATGATTGCATCGGAGCGACTCCTCCAAGCGGCGGGAACCCTAAGACTTCCCCACGCGCCTAGCGTGGATGCTTGTGGACTTGCACAGCTCGTGGGCGACGTGCCCCTGCATTTAGTGCGGTTAAGAGTTTCGCGGCGGATGCTTTCGACCTTGGCCTCTGGGCCCAAGTCGAGAAGCCTGGCCTCGTGGCTCGCTCCGGCGTTGGCCGCCGATTCAAGGCCGCCGTCGCGTCTCGCATTGCCGCGCCTGCGCGCCGATGGATGAGGAGCATTGGGCGCGAGTTGGCTGGCGGCAGGGTCATGCGCACGCAGGGCAAGAAGAAGATGTAGGCCTTGAAGGGCAAGAGAAGGAAGCTTATCGCCCTCAACTCAGCCGCGGGCCGGCGTGCGGCTACCATCTGGCGTGCTGGCGCCCTTCCTGCGGCAGGGAATGAAGGCGCAGTATCAGGTCTCTGGCGCAGCCTTTGGGTACTTACGTCACATGGCCGCTACGCCGGTAGGTGGCCAAAGGAGAGTGGGTGCTGCTAGGCACCTCATTATGCATGCTGCCCCCCTGTGCGACCCGATTTACGACTGTACGTTGGGGGGGGGGAGGGAAGTACCCTACGTTTGTGGGGCGGCCAGGTTGAGAGGAGTGGGCCCAGCGGGCCTGGCGTGATGCTACGATGGGACATCCGACATGGCAGCAGGCCCTGGCCAATGTCTGCGGCATGGCTCTCTCTTTCGTGCGCACTGGATGGGCAATGGTCAATGCGCGCGCCCTGCGCGGCGACTCCGGCACCTCCTTTTCCTTGTTGGTCACGCCTTTGCACGACATTCGTTGAGGGTATTCAGAGATGGGAACACAGGCGCCTCCTCAGGCACATGAGCACCTCCGAAGGCACGGATGCTTTGTGGCACAAAGCCTTGCGCCTGGTATCCAAGGGGTGAGATGTCCCAAGCAGAAGGGGGCCTTGTCTACGGCGTGGGCCAATGTTGTTCCCCTGCCTGCTGCACCTGCTGGCCTACAATATGCTGTGCGGGCGGACTGCCTGGCTTGATCCCACCCCGAGGGCACGCGTGGCCATGCGTGGTATTGCTGCCCCAAGTTCGTCTCTGGAGACGGCATTGACCCCATGGGCGAAGAGATCCCAGACAGGCTGAGTGAACACAGGGCTGCACTGATGTACGCTAGAGTCTATACGTGTGTGGGGAGCCTCAGGTAGACAGCACTTACCGTACTTTTGAACTCCCCGCGTTGTCAATGTCCCTTCAGGCTCCTGAGGACCGCCCTGTTGCTGTAGTTTTGGTGATGCGTCTGGTCCTTGGGGGCCAGATTCCTTTTTTGGACGGTAGTTGTTTGCATAGCTCGATCCCCGGAGCGGCGGGAGCTGGGTGGGCTGTTGTGCAACACCATCGGACGCTCCGAACGATGGGCTGTGCTCCGTGCGCTCGTGGCTAATACATCTCACGCCTACAGCCTGTCGTGCGTGAAAGAAATTCCTGAGCTGGCGCTTGGCACGGCTAAGCATGCGGGGATTCGGAAGCAGGTGTTCTCGATCCCTGGTGTGTTGCAGCCTCAATTCAGATGGTGCCCCGCCCACTTGAGCATTGATGAAGCTGTTGAGCGGGGCTTGTGTTTGCGAACGTGGGCGGGGAACCAGTGGGCCGACTTTTTCGCTCAAATCGGGGTCTCCCAGCATTATGTTGCCGATGGTTTTGCGAATGCGATCGCTAGAGAGCTCAGTGATCACCGTTCCACGTTGCAGTTTCCCGCGTGGGCAGCCCAGCTGCTTGAGGCGCAGAGATGGACGGCGATGGACCCCAATTTCGCTCCCAGTCTCCTTGTGGCTCCCGCCCCCCCCCCTGGCCGTCACCACCCACGATATGTGGTACTCCGCGGCCCTGGCTGAGTGGAGGTGCAGGGATTGCAGGCGGTTTGCCAAGAATTGTACCTTGCGCAGGGCCCTCCTGTGCCATAAGGATACCCGCCAGCGCCTGCACTCCCCGATCCAGCGACATGTGTGCGACCGTTGGTTTCGTTCCTTCGGCGAGTCGTTTTCAGTCGTTCGCTCTGAGGCGGTGAGGGTCGCGCTGGAAGCGGCCGACAGGGCCGAGGAGGTGGCGTCTAGGCTGGCGGCGGAGGTAGGTGGCTCGGCCACTCCCGATGGCTCGCCTGCGCCCATGTCTCCCCAGCCGCCCGATCCTTTCCAGGCTCTCGGGCATGATGTCACTGCGGTCGGACTTGAATGCTGTTGTAGGCGCTGCGGTGCTCCCGGCACGCTCGATAGTATGCGCCATCTTCGTGTTGTGTGCAGAGGGCCTTCAGTTGTGCTCAGCACCCTGGCCAACCAGAGGATGAAGGTTAGGCGAATTGAGCGGGGGGAGCACCCCAGAACGGGTGAGAAGATCGTGGTGGCCGAGTCGCGTGAAAATAATTGTGTCTCCGCCTCAAGCCGCTGCGGCCCCGTCGGTGCCTCCCCCCCTCCTGGCCACCTTGGCCAGTCCGAGTGCGAGGGTGCGAAGGTCCCTCGCACAATCCCCTGGCGGGGGCTCTCGAACGACTCTGATTAGTGCCCTTGTCCCCTCCCATGGCTCGCGCGAAGGTTGCCTTTGTGCCGCCGTGGGGGTGGTGGTGGGTTGGGGGTCGCGGTGTCGCCTGGATAGCCGTGGTTCCCCCTCTCCTTCTCCCCCCGTGCGGTCCCGCCTGTGGTGACGCACGAGGGCTCTCGGCGGCAGCGTCGCCTGTCGTCGCCCGCCCCGCCGCCCGCATACGCCGACTCCTTCGGTGGCGCGGACGCCCTCGGCCACAAGGCCCGGTGTTTGACACTGGACCACCACCTCGGGGCGTGTCCCTTGGTGGTGGCGCGATGGTCGTGTCGCCTCCTCCTCCTCCTCCTCCTCTTCTTCCTCCTCATACTCCTCCTTCTCCTCCGTCTCCTCCTCCTCGTCCTCCTGTTCCTCCTCCTCCTCCTCCTGTTCCTCCTCCTCCTCCTCCTCCTCCTCCTCCTCCTCCTCCTCCCTCCACCGCCCGCCCAATGTCCCCAGCCTGTGGCAGGGTCATCAGCTCGTCGCTGTGGTTGTCGTCGTGGTTGTGGTTGTCGTCGTCCTTTTGGGTCGGCAGCACTGGCCGTACGACCTTCACAATCTCTGAGATCCTCCAGCTCTGGAGGGTGTATCGGGCGTCGCGTCCTTCTCGGAGCGTTCCTGAACGCCCTGAGCGCGTTCTGGAACGCTCTGGAACGGATTTGTACTCGTCCTAGCCTCATCCGGTATACCCCTGCTGATTGAGTGCAAGATCAGGCCTGCAAGAAATGCCGACGCGGATAAACACAAACGCGATCCGGACAAGAGGTCCAGTGAGGGAGCTGCCGCCTGCACGCCAAACTCGCGCATGCTGTGGGCAGCTTGCGCTGCCGGACTGTGGCACTGAAGGAGGGTGAGACCTGGCCCCACAGGGATGAGACGCTGGGCCGCACCTAAAAAGTTATCAAACGTATGCAATGGTGGCGGCGGGGTGGGTGCCTGTTGACTGCCCTGCAACGTTTCTGCAATACTCGAGGGCCGACCCCGTTTGCGACGGCAGCATGATGCCCCAAAACAGACACAAGACGGCCGAAGGTTCCCAAGAACTGTCATCAAGAGAGCTTGAGGAGCTCACAAGAAGCTCCCAGTAAGACCTCCGGCAGGGCTAGGGAACGACAGAGGGCTCACCACATCCGCAAGTGCAAATGCAAACAAATAGTTCATCCAACAATGCTACAATGCGCTGGGGCATACGCCCCAGAGAGGGGCAGTACGAGTAACGCTCTAGCCTCATCCACTACCGAGAGCGCATTGCCTGACAAATTCTGATAAAGACTGGGCTGCTCACGCGAACTTGAACGCTGTGGGGCTTTTGTTCGGCGAGATCGGCGTGAGTTTTGCGCGACACGCAGAAGCGGCTGTGGTCACTTTGCCACCTATCTACGAGCTCGGACGCGACAGCGACCCAAGAACTCGAAATCCTGGCTTGTCGCAGCGGTACCGAATATGGCTTGGCTTGCCCCTCCTGATCGGGAACTCTCGTCGGCCATGGCGCCTTGACGCCGCGTGATGACCTAGATTCCCGAACAGCTTGATCCACGCATGTGACGTGCTTCTCCCAAACAGACGATAGTGCGTTCGAGGGGGGTCACATTCGCCTGAACCATATCGCTGAACAGCACTTCTGCGTCTTCCACGCGCTGCAAACTGATGCAATGTGTGATTGCGTTGTGGTAATCTTGCGGGTGAAGCTTCAGGCGCAGGCCCTTCATCCTCTCCAAGAGGGCGACGGCCTCCTCGAAACGGTTAGACTGTACGTTGGCGTTGATCATGATGCGGTAAGTCTTTAAATCGGGTGTCAATCCGCGATCGGCCATCTGCGCGAATAGCAGCCCAACTTGGTCGTACATGCCAAGCTGACAGCAAGCACCCAATAATGCATTATACGCCACCTTGTCAAATTTCATTCCTAGATCATCCATCTCATCGCACAACGTCACCGTCACCTCTGGACTCGACCGCTCGCAAGATATGATAATGGAGAATTGAGCCATCCGGCTGAGTTCGAACCCTTCACTCTTCATCTTCAGGAGATACTGCACGACCCTCCTCGGAGGTTTGCTTTTCCATGCGATAATCAAGCGGTTCTGGATTGTTGAAGACGGCTCAAGACCGCAAGCTCGAACTATATCGAGTAGCGCCAGCCCGTCGTTCCGCATGCGCATGACACAGAGGTTGTCGGCGACCAGAAGGAAGAACTTGTCGACCGTGGCTTTGGCGATGAGGTGTGCGTCGTGACCGACGCCTTCCTCCAGCATCTGGTCGAACAACTTGAGTGCTCTGTCCACTTGTCCGAACCTGACGCAAGAATGCATCATGTCGGAGAGTGTCGGAATCTGGAGAGCGATGCTCTCAGTTTGCACAGTGTGTCCAACTAGATCTCGTGAATACTCGGAACCTCCATGGCAACGCTTGTGCGGCGACACGCTTCTCCAATTCAGGGCCGCAGGGCTGGCATCGTGCCCACCATTGGGCGCAACCTTGACGATCGACGACTTGCTGGTGATTACGGTCTTCACGCTGGGAATCCACCCTGCGGTGTAAGAAATTATGAAACATGTCAAGATCACCGCTTCCGGGATCAACTCGATCGGGAGCATCACGTGGAATACGTTGCAAACGAGAGTAAACATCACCTGGCGCAGTGTGAAGAGGCCCCCGTAGAACAGGAGCATGCTAAAAGAAAGCGGGTAGGCAGCACGCCTCGCCAAAACCTTCTGCACTGCTCGTTGTATACTCGTGGTTGACATGTTCCCCCGGCCTTCTGGAATTAGGGAACGCGAGTGTGACAATGACAAATAATCTCTTGAACCAAACTGGTCCATGACATAGACGGCACGAGAACTGGATAAACAATGGTAGGCAAACAGATCCGCAACTCAGGCCTAATCCAGGCGACCCCAGGCAGGAACACTGCACTCATAACCAGGACAATTCTAACGCGAGACCCCATCTTGAACCAGAACAGTCAAACAACCGGTGGCGAGTCGCACAGTTCGAGGGGCCCTCTGGGACAATCTGGCCCTCTGGGACCATCTGGTGGGCCCCTAGGTAGGGCCCTCTGGGCCCATCTTGTGGGCCCCTAGGTAGGGCCCCTCCTGGGCTTTCGTGGAATAGTGAGGGCGCGTGGGTGGCCTCATGGAAGGTGGTAGGAGGCATGTTTGGACAAACCTGGTCCGTCTGGTGGGCCCATGTCCGATCTTTTGAGGCCTGTTGGGCCCCCCTGAGACCTTCCGTTCGCCTACGGCCTTCCAAAGGCCGCCCCAAGACGATTCCAGCGTGAGACCAGATCCGAAGGCCAGAGCAAGGGAACCACTTGTACATTCCGCAACTCCCTGCGCTGTTGGGTCCTCGTGTGGGATCAGTCGCGCCACCAATTATTCCTCCTCTTCATGGTGGTTGATGACATGGCCTCCCCTCCTCTTCATGTTTGACCCCAAGCCCTTTACGAGGACCATGGCCTCACAGGGTGCTCTGCCTACGGCATCGGTGGGCACCGACGCATGGCGTCACCGCCCGCACTTCGACACGCACGCCCACGAGGCTCGTGGCCCGATGACGAGCTGTATCGATGAGAGTCTCAATGGGCGACGACGAATGGGGCCAGCGCCCTCATTTCGGCACGCCCCGCACAAGGACCGCAGCCCCATAAGAAGCTTCACCTGCGAACGGTAGCCCCGTAGGGAGCTTCACCTACGATCTCAGAGGGCGCCGAAGCATGGCATCGCCGCTCCCATTTCGGCACGCCGCTCTCGAGGATCTTGGCCCCATTGGGGGCTCCGCCTACATTCTCAGTGGACGCAGAAAGCATGGCGCCAGCGACCTCCTGTCGACACCCTCCACCACGAGGACCGTGGCCCCATAGGAAACTCCTGTCTACGTGGGCGCCGACGCATAGCGCTACCGCCCCCATGTCGGTACACCCGTCACGTGCATCGTGCAACCATGGAAATTCCAGATGCGGCCCCATTTGGAAAGTTTAGGTACGTACTTCTGCTCGTGTCGATCACCCCGCACACGAGCCCCACCTACGGCCTAAGTGGGAAGTTCGCAAGCGTCCCCCTCACACGCAAACACACACACACACACATTTGTTGTCGGCGTCGCGGCCCTAAGCGCGGCGACGGGGCGTAGAAGAACATGGATGGCGGGGAGGGGCAAGAGGCAAACGAGACTGTACACATACACACAACCATACGGACGCACGGACGCACGCACGCACGCACGCAAACACACACACACACACACACCAAACGGCGTATGCTGTGATGTGCTGTATTGTGGTGTGGTGTTTTCTGCTGTGCTGTGATGCGCTATGTGCTACGATGTGTTATGCTTTACGCGCGCACACGCACACGCGCATCCTTGAGCTTGTTTATGTTCCGGGACCCAAATGACGTCACGCTCCGCGCCGGCACCGACCGGGAATGCCTCGGGGTTGGCCGAGGCCAAGTAAAAGCAGCATGTCCGTCACGATCTGCATCACAGTGTACACCAATGTTCGCGTGCACCGCAACGCCTGTGCATACCACAACGCCTGTGTACACCACATAATCCGCGTGCAACGACGCGCTGGTGTACACCACAGCGCCTGCGTGCACAGGCCATGTTAAAGAAGTATGTTGGTGAGGATCTCCTGCGGACAGCTAAACACCACGCAAGGGAAGTGCTAATAATAGAATGCGATGTTCTTCCCTCCCCCCTCCTCCTCCACCACCACCACCACCTCCACCACCGCCTCCAACACCAAGTCCGCCTCCTCCCTCAACCATCCCCCCTGCACACGGCTCATGTGGTGTACGCAGGCGCTGTGGTGTACAAAGCGCTGTGATGGACGCAGGCACTGTGGCACACACAGGTGCTGTGCTGCACGCGGCTGCTGTGGTGTACATAGGCGGTGTGGTGTACACAGGCCCTGTGGTGCACGCAGGCACTGTGGTGTACACAAGCGCTGTGATGCAGATCGCCACCTACATGCTGCTGCTACCTGTCCTCGGTCATACCTGGGCATTCGTTAAAGTCTGCGGCGCGAAACATGACGTCATCGGCTCCCTCCCCCCAAATGACGGCCGTCATCGGTCCGGGATAAACAAAGGCCTGGCGAAGGACCCAACCACCATTGGGGACGTCGTTGAAGTTCTCGATGGGGCCACAGACGCTGTACTTGGTGGGGAAACCGCATGCGGACACCGCCACTGGGACAATTGGTGGAACCTCCCTCTATGGGGCTACGAAGCGATGTATGGGGTGGGGGAACCGCATGCGGACACCGCCACTGGGGCCTTCGGTGGAGCTCCTCCTGAGGCCACGAAGCGCTGTACTGAGCGGGGGGGCCGCAAGCGGACACCGCCAGTGGGTCCTTTTGCGGAGCTCCCCCTTTATGGGGCCACGCAACGCTATACTGGGTGGGGGAACCGCATGCGGACACAGCCATTGGGGACTTCGGTGGAGCTCCCTGTGGGGCCACGAAACGCTGAACAGAATGGGGGACCCGCATGCGGACACTGCGGCTGGGGCCTTCGGTGGAGCCCACCTTATGGGACCACGAAGCGCTGTACAAGGTGGGGGGACCGCATGCGGACACCGCAACTGGGGCCTTCGGTGGAGCCCCCGATGGGGCCACGAAACGCTGTACAAGTAAGGGGACCCATGCAGACACCGCCACTAGGGCCTTCGGTGGAGCTCCTCATCGCGCCACGAAGCGCTGTACTAAGTGGGGGAACCGCATGCGGACACCGCCTCTGGGGACTTCGGAGGAATTCTGTATGCGTCCACGAAACGCCGCAGTGTGGGGGAACCCGTATGCGGACACCGCATGTGGACGGCAGGTGGACGGACCTGTACGACGCCGCCTTGGAGTTCCAGTTCCCAGTGCGGCTGCTGAAGGGCCTATGCATGCTGTACAGCGGGCCCCGTCGCGTCTTGTATGGGGGCGCTGTGTCTGGCACCATGCGGGCCAATGGCTCCATAATTGCCGGATGCTCGACAGCCCGACACTCGCGAAGCTGGTCCTCCTCCGGCCGCTCCGCGCTGCACGAGCTGGTCGGCTCGGCCTGCAGATCCGGAACGTCGTGGACGACGTCAGGCGACGGGGCGCCAGGACATGGTCGTCGCGAGCCTGGGGGGCGGCGTCGAATCTCTCCTGGGTTCCTTCAGGGACCTTTCGCTCCCCGTGAACATCGGCAAGCGCAAGTACTTGGCCAGCTCACGCGAGTTGGCATCTGCCCGCGATGCGGCGTGGAGCTTGCCAGCGACGACCAGGGTAGATGGGGCTAAAAGCTTGGGCGGCGACATCACCATGGGGGCGCCGCGACGCGTTGCGGCGACCAGTGTGCGCCAAGCTGCAGCCCGACGACGCGGTCATCGCTATGCCATCCTTCGCGAAGCCGGAGCTGATGTCACCATGGCCCATCGCCTCGGGGCCACACCTTCAGGATTATGGGGCGGGGCCGTCATGGGCCCCCCGCCGTCCCAGCTCCACGGCCTGCGGGTGAGTGCGGTCACCAGCATGGGCCGTCTGCCCAAAGGAGCCAGCGTGAGGCTCCGTCTGCACTCGTACCGCAGTGGAAGTCGCGTGGACCCGCTCGTGCTGAACCCAGCGGAGGTGCTCCAGCAGTGGTGCGAGGCGGTGGGGTCTGGAGCAGCCAGGGTATTGCAGGTGATCTTGGAGCTTGGCCAGCGGAAGCAAGCAACTTCGAAGTCCCCTTGGCGGGTGGCGTGCTCTCCAGCAGACGTCGTGGTCCTCACACTAGACCGCGTTGGTTGGAATATGGTCAGCGGCACCGTCGTCCGGACCGACACGGCGGAGCAGTACGATCTCCATCGCACTTCGCCGTGCCAGCTCAGGACCCCAGTGGAGGCTGCTGCCGTCCGGGCCTCTGACAGAATGGCCCTCTGCAGGGTCGGGTCGGGTGTCGCCGCCGCGGCCGCAGGGGGCGAGGCTGGTGGGCCGGCTCATCCCGGTGCACTTCCAATGTTTTGGAGCGGTCTCAGACCACTCCTCCAGCGCGTGACCTCAGTCTGGACGCTGCGTCAACAGCGGGCTCTGAGGGCCGGCATCTGCAACACCATCTGGAGCCAGGCCCGCTTGCTTGGCCACGGCCTCGTGCAGGATGGCCTTTGCGCGCTTTGCTGGAGCGGCCTCGGCACGGTGTGGCATCGCTGTTACGAATGCCCAGCGCATCAACAACTGCGACGGGAGCTGGTTGGAGCACGCCATCTGCTCCGGGCTACCCGCGTGCGCGAGTGGAGCGTGGAAGGCGCAGAAAGGTTTGCCCGAGGGCTCTTACCTTCAACAGCGCCCTTGCTGCCTCGTGTGGATCCCGCCGACTTGATTTCGTGGGTCAACCATCCAGCCGATGGACTACTGCATGGACCGTTGTTCACAGACGGCAGCGCGTTCAACATGGAGATCCCTGAGTTGACCCGCGCTGGTTGGGTAGTTATCCAGGTCGATCGGTTCGGACGCAAGGTGTCTGCCGCCTACGGGCCTGTCCCTTTCTGGGCTGGCCAGCGGCAGACTTCTAGAGACGGAGAGGATTTCACCATCTTCATGCTCTGCGACCTCGTCTGGCCAGGCACCCATGACGTTTACATCGACTGCCAGGGGACCGCCGACAGGTTGCAGGGCGGGCCCGGGGCCGGTGCCAGGCCGCAGGACCAACGACCTCACCTATGGGGACGAGCGTGGGGACACTTCAGCCCGGGGGACCTGATAGCTCCCAAGACTCTTGGGCATGCCGCGTCCGCTGATGTCGACGCGGGGAGGTCCACGCACTGGGAGCGGGAGGCCAACAATGCCGTGGACCGCTTCGCTAAGCTCGGGACCCACATGCACACGGGCATCACTTGCAGGGAGGTCCACCTGTGGAAGGGCTTTGAGG